GGGTAGGGAGAGGGGAAGGGGGAGGAGAAAAAGAAAAGCTATAAAAATTAGTGTGCAGAAATGCGTGGGCGGCACACACACACAGAAAAATGACAAGAGGAAAACTGGAGAAAAAGATAAGAAAAATCAAAACAGATAGCCAATGTTCAAAAACTAGCTCAGTACTAACAGGGCAAAGGAGAGAAGGATGTCACCTGGTGAGCTCTCAGCACCATAATGATTGGACATTGTAATGCTCACCAAATACTGAATGGGAGAAAACAGACCCCCAAGTGCCCATCACTGCATACCTACACAACACTGGAAGCAGAGAAAATTCCAGACTTCCAGTGAAGTAAAACTAGTCCCACAATAAATCAAAACACATTCAGACTCCAGGAGCAAAACCTGAGCTGGCCTCCATGCTGTGCCCTGAAGTTCACAGCATCCTACGACAGATTCTCCTCTTGACCTGATTCTGAGAACAGGAAGAAGGCTTTGAAAACTGCAGAAGCTGAAAATACAAAGTCCAAGCCCTCCACCAGGTTTCTAGATGTCACTCTCAGTCCACGCCTCGGCCCTACCACTAAAGCTAACAGCCGAAGGCTTTTTTCACTTCTTCCTTCCTTTTTGTAGTGCTGGGAAACTGAACCTGTGGACTCAGGCCTCCTAGGCAAACATTCTACCACTAAGCTACATCCCCAGTCCCCTTTTCTTTTCTTTTTTTGAGACGGGGTCTTCTTATAGCCCCAACTGGCCGGGATCTTTCTATGTAGACCAGGCTGGGCTGGATCTCACAGATCACCTGCCTCTGCTGAGATGAAAGCATGTGCTTTCTTTTTAGTTTTTGAGACAGGGTCTCACTAAGTTGCCCAGGCTAGCCTTGAGCTCACTCTGTAGTGCAGGTAAGCCTTGAACTTGTGGTCCTCTTGCCCTGGCCTCCCAAGCAGCTGGGAATTACAGACCTGTGCTACCAGGCCTGGCTCCAAATTGTTTCTTGAAACCCTTGGGATACTGAAGTCAGACTATGACCAAGTGTGATGGGATGCTCTCCTTCTGGAAACTGCAACCAGAAATGGCGAAACTGCTCTGCACCTGGGCAGCAAATCTTGCTCTTGTGGCTCCATTTCACTACACATGAGGCAGTAACACTGGAAGACCAACAAAATAGGATGCAGAGCACCTCAGAGGGCTGGGCATGGCTATAACCTGGGAGGCCCCCAGTGACCCTGCCTATGGTGTGCTGTTTCTTAGCCTTCACACATACAGTGGTGTGCATCCTGCATCTTTCATCTATTCCTCTTCACAATTTAAAAACACTGTGGTAGCATGCATACTGCTTCCAGTTCAAAATTCTTTAACTACAGTCCGTATGTCAAAGGCATACAAAAAAGATGACCACGTTTACTTACATTATGAGTCTTCTGTTTAAGAACCAGTATTTCCTCCGGCTTCTGTCATAACCAATAGGTTCGTGTCGAATATACGGCTTATTCTTTTGGATTTCAGCAACACAGTCAGTCACGCCAGGCACCTTGTGCGCTACACAGACCTCGCACTGCCACTCATCCTCTGGCACCTCCTCCAGAGGTGGCTTCACACATTCCAAATGGTACACGGCTGAGCATGTCTCACAGCAAAGCAAATCCCCGAGTTTGTGACAAACCCTACAATGGTCGTCATACTGGATCACCCCTTCAGACATCAGCTCCTCCCGAGCAATGTTTGTCGTCAGGAACTGATCCACTAAAAACTGCAGAACTTTGATTTTGTTCTCCACCGGTCCATACGGATAGTCCTCCGCTTCTTGGTAAGGAAGAACGTGATGATATTCCTGGTCACTCTCACAGTACACCCGCAGCACCTCTGGCCACGTCATCCCATCTATGAAGTACAGAGTGGAATTGACACTGTCCTTGAGATCAGCAGGTCCGAAGGTAGTATTAGATGTGTCCTCTTCTCGCAGAACTGCTTTCAAAAGAACAACATGCATCTCTGCCATGAGTGTGCACTGCTCTTGGCTCACCAGAGCAGCACAGAAGTCCTCAAAGCGAAAGGGAGATAGCCTCAAAACAGTGCCAAAGTTCCGGAGTACCTCATAAATGGCAATAACATTCATTATATGCTCATTAGGCACCATTAAATCCTCAGAGGACTTGGGGAATTCAAGGGGGGGGATGTCTTTTTCTTCTATTATTGGAGAACGAGGCCGATGTACTCTCGGTTTTCGCCTACCTGCAAAGACAGACACCATTACATTCAATGCACCCTACACTTCACACCACAAGCACAGGCTCACCCAGTGTTCCTGGGATTGCCTAGTTAAACATTACCAAGAAGTGAGGCTGAAGGGTGGAGTGGCAGAGCACTTGCCCGCATGCTCAGACTCTGGGGATGGGGTTTCACCCCCAGCATTACTGAAATAGCAAAATCAAAAATTAGTGAAATGCAATGATGTAGTTCTTTGTCTTTATGAAAATATATTTGTTGTTATTTTTATTTTATGTGTAGAGTGTGTACTACTTGCATGTATGTAAGTGTACCTGTGTTGTGCAATGCCCAAGGAGGTCAAAAGAGGGCATCAGATCCCCTGGAACTGGAGTTACAGACAGGTGTTAGCTACCATGTGGGTGCTGGAAATTAAACCTGTGTCCTCTGCAAGAGCAGCCAGTGCTCATAACTGCTGAGCCATCTCTCCAGTCCACTTCAAGTCTTTTTTGAGACAGAATCTCACTCTGTAGCCCAGGCTACCCCAGAACTATGTGGCAGGCCTGGAACTCACAGTAATCCTCCTGCCTCATCCTCCTGAGTGCTGCTGGGATTATAGCATGAGCTATCATATCAGACCCAATAACTTAATTTTTAAGTCTATAGAAAAATTAAATCCCAAGTTTGCGACTGAATTCTAAGCCAGAAGTAAAATTTTAAAGTACAATCAGCTCCTATTTTTCTAAGAACTTGTTTATAAGTAACTTTGATTTTTTTTTTTTTCCTGGTATTTTTGAGACAGGGTCTCCCTGTAGCCCTAGCTGGCTTCAAACTCACTATGTAGACCAGGCTAGCCTCAAACTCACAGAGATCCACCTGCCTCTGCCTCCAGAGTGCTGGGATTAAAGGCATGTTCCACCATGCCCAGCTCAACACTGCTGTTCTTGCAGAAGATCCAGGTTTGAATCCCAGCACCCACATGGCAGCTAACAATTGTCCGTAACTCCAGTTCCAGGGGGTCCTCCACGGGCATTGCACGACACGGGTGCACTTAACTACATTCAGGCATAACACTCAAACACATAAAATAAAAGTAATAAATAAAATATATTAAAAACTGGTCTACATAGTGAGTTCCAGGACAGCTGGGGCTACAGGGAGACAAAGACAAAAGACAAATATATATAGCGCATGTTCAGCAGCTGGAGAGGTGGGTCAGTGGTTAAGAGCACACACTGGCCGTTTGAATCCCAACATCCCCATAATGGTTAACAACCATCCCTAACTCCAGTTCCAGGTGATCTGATGCCCTCTCTGGCCTCCTTGGACACTGCATGACACCAGTACACTTACATGCATGTAGGCAATACACTCATACACATAAAATAAAGTAATAAATATTTTTTTAGAGCTGGGAGTGGTGGCACACACCTTTAATCCCAGCACTTGGGAGGCAGAGACAGGTGGATTTCTATGAGTTCAAGGCCAGCCTGATCTACATAGGGAGTTCCAGGCCAGCTGGGGCTACTGGGAAACCCTGTCTCAAAAAGGCCCCCCAAAGTATATATTATATATATTTTCTACATATGTATATATTTAAAAAAAAAAAAAAAAGAACTTGACACTGGGCATGGTAAAGTGAGTCTTTGATCCCAGCCCTCACAATTAAAGGCAGAGGCAGGTGGATCTCTATGAGAACGAGGCCACCCTGGTGACTTCCAGGCAGGCTGTGACTAGGGAGACCCTGTCAGAAAACAATTAACAACAACAACAAAAAAATTTTGAGAAAAACAAGCTATTCCTAAACTGCTTGTATTACTATTATTGTTGCTTCTGGGGTCAGTAGAATGGTAAGTTTCTAATTTACAGAAGTAACTTTAATAGAATCAATTAAACTCATCCTTGTACTTTCTAACCATGAGGCTGAGTTGTTCTAACTGCTCCCCAGCACCTCTGGCTTCCTCCTATTACCTGCAAATGAGTAACAGGTGGTGCTAGAGAAAACAACACATCAGCAGTATGAAAAGCAAAACCCTTACATTTATACAATGTATCCCCAACACCCATCCTCTAGAAAGTAGATTTTCCAAATAACAGCAGTCATTACTTTCTGTGTTAGAAAACCTGGTCACGGGGCTGGAGAGGTGGCCCAGTGGTTAAGAATACTGGTTGTTCTTGCAGAAGACCCTGGTTCGAATCCCAGAACCCACATGGCAGCTAACAACTATCCATAACTCCAGTCCCAGGGGATCTGGAGCCTCTTCTGACCTACGAGGGCACTGCACGACACGGGCGAACTTTTACCTACATGCAGGCAATACATGCATAGACATAAAATAAAAATAATACAATTTTAAAAAAAGAAAGAAAACCTGGTCACTGTCAACCAGACACTGTCATGCACAGTGAGAAAGGCACCTCCTCCCTCTTAGCAAACTTAGCAAAGCTGACAAGTAGAGCCACAGAACTCCCTTTGTCACTGATGCCACAGGTCACTGATCCGACAGGTCAGCTAATAGAGCAAGTGTTCCTCAGTTGCTTATGCAACATGTCTGTCAGAAAGTCCCTGAAGCTTTGGCCGGTGAGATGGCTCGGTGGGTGGAGGCAGTTGCTGGTAGCCTTGATGACCTGAGTTGGATCCCTGGGGCCCACATGATAGAAGAAGAGAAAGGTCCCCCACAAGCTGTCCTCGGGTCTTCATAGGCATTCCCACAGCATCCCTGAAGCTGAAATCTAGTCTGTAGCAGTGATCCTATGCTGAAAGGTGGATGGGGTGGATGGGGGGTGAAGAGCCTCCAAGGCCCTCTCTATCCCACAGTCACCTTATTCATTTGCAAAATCAATACGAATGCAGGAATCTGCAACCCAGTACTCACTACCAAAGACAGGATACCAAAGCTCTCCACCTAGCAAAGGAATGGACCTAGGGACAAAGCGTAGCCAGGCAGCCAATGGGTGGGAACACTCTATCCCACAAAACTTAATTCTTTTCTCTTTCAAAATGGGAAGTCTTTTAGAAGCTATTTTGCTCAGTCTAGAATTAAATAAAAGCCATTCTCAGAGACAATCTGGGGCCCAGGTCTCCTACCAGCCAGGAAAGGACAGATCATCTGATCTCAAAGCTAAATTTACATATGCTCTAGCTGGTCTCCGGGCTACCAAGAAATTGAAGGTGGCTATGGGCACAGCAGGAGGAAATTACCTTCTTGCCCCTACCCCAATTTGGACAAACTGCAAATACATTCATTCTCTTTTATCAATTATTGTTTCCTAGTTCCTTTGGAAACTGAGGTAGCAAGCTTATACATTTAAGAGCCCAGTGACAGTCTTCATATGTACAGTAAACAATGCGAGTGCCCACAGCAGCTACATTAAGTACTCACACCTTTTAGGCTTCAAGTGTTTTTTATTTATTATTTCTTATGTGTGTGTGTGTGTATGAGTGTATTGCCTGCATGTGTGTAAATGCACCCATGTCATGCAATGCTCACTGAGGTCAGAAGGTGTCAGATCCTCTGGAACTAGACTTCCAGTTGTTAGCTGCCATGTGCTGGGAGTTGAACCCGGGTCCTCTTCAACTGCAGCTAGTGTGTGCTCTTAACCTCTGAGCCATCTCTCCAACCCCTAGGCTTCAGGGTTTTTTAGGGGTTTTTTTTTTGGGGGGGGGTGTCTTTTTGAGACAGGGTCTCCCTGTAGCCCCAGCTGGCCTGGAATTCACAATGTAGACCAGGCTGGCCTCAAACTCACAGAGATCTGGCTGCCTCTGTCTCACAGTGCTAGGATTAAGGATGTGCGCCACCACACCCAGCCTAGGCTTCAGTTTTTTTAAAAGAAACCAATTTGGCAAAAATCTACTAAGAAATTCTTTCCTTTGACCCAGCAATTCTGTCTCCTAGAAATTAACCTACAGAAAGATATACTCACATGTTAAAGTACAAAAATAATTCAACACAGTTTATAAAAGTTGAATTTTTTTGAGATGTTCTGCATAAAATACACAAAAAATTCAATAAAATTAAAAAATAATTTTTTTTAAACTTTTTTTTTTTGGTCTTTTTGAGACAGGGTCTCCCTGTAGCCCCAAGCTGGCCTTGAACTCACAGAGATCTGCCTGCCTCCGCCTCCCTCGAGCTGGGATTAAAGGCGTGTGACACCACACCCGGCTAAAAATAAAAAAATTTTTAAAAAATTTTACGAATTTGAAATTTCTGTGATTTGGATTTTTTTTTTTCTTTTTGTCTTTTTGAGAGAGGGTCTCCCTGTAGCCCCAGCTGGTCTCAACTCACTTTGTAGACCAGGCTGGCCTCGAACTCACAGAGATCTGCCAGCCTCTGCTTCCCAACTGCTGGGATTAAAGGCTTGCGCCACCACGCCCAGCTCTGGATTTTTTTTTCTTTTTAACCTAAATACCTATCAAGAGTTCAATCAATCATGACCCATCTACATAAGAGAATCAAATCTAGCCTTTGAAAAGGATAAGGTAAAATTTCTATGCACTAAAATGAAGCTACTAGCTGGGAAGTAGCTCCGTGGCAGACTGCTTGCCTAGCCTCATGGAACTCCACCATGAAATAATAACTAGGATGCCATGTGACTAAAGGGGATGAGGGGATAGAATGTGGGGGCAGATCAAGTATGTGAGAGGTTGTAGACAAATCTTTTAAAAGTAGTTCTTCTGTGGAGAAAAGACCAGAAATAGACCTTTTAAACATTTTTATAGTTTTTGAAATATTTCAAACACTTTTATAATGTTTTAAAAGAAAAAAGTAAGTGCTGGGTGTGGAAGACTGTTGCACGTTTAAGGCAAGTCTTTTTTGCTTCCAAAAAAGGAGGGGAAGGGGAGCAGAGAGGTAAAAATGAAGCAACTTAAGACTTCTGATATCCACCATCAGGACACTAAGCTGCTACAAATGACTAAGGAAGGTCTGGTGTAAATACAAATACAAGATGATATCATATTCAAAGATCCAAAAGCAGGGTTTGGTGGCACCTGCCTGTAACCTCAGCACTCAGGAGGCCTGAGGCCA